GAGTGGCCGCTGCCCTGGCCGGCGCCTTTCCTGAGGGAAGCGGAGGTGACAGTCGCCCCCGTGGGACTCGTCGACCCCTCCTTAACACGGGGCCGCACCGCCAAGGATCTCCCGTGGTTCAGGCGGGAAAGAGCTGGAAGCGGGGCACATCCCTCAGCTACAGCTCCAGGCTGAGCGGTCCAGGGAGGACAGCGCTGGCTGAGTGCAGAGGCTCCATCGGGCTCACCTTCTCCCGGTGCTGGAGACACACGGCCCGGCTGCCCAGCTTCCAAGTGAGTGCTGGGGTTTGTCAGCCACATCCTTTCAGGAGCAGGGACCACAGGCACATAGCCAGGTGATTATGTCTGGGACTTCTTGCCACAGGACACTAAGAAGACCGACAGTTTGCACAGTAGCAAAAAGTGTCCAGACTAACTCCCAGAGGAAGAGCCACGCATCAAAGTGCATTGAACGAAAAAAAAAAAAAAAACCAAAAAAAAACCCAAAACCCACCACAAACCACGCCTAACTTTGTCTCTGGTTTGGGAAGTCCCTGAGCCGCTGATCTAGAAGTCGAGTGAGTGTGCTGGGAACTGTCACTGCATCACTGTCCCTTTCTTCCTGAGGCACTGGAGACAGGAACCTGGCTTACATGACGTTTGGTCTGACCCAGAACAGCTATTCTTACGTCCCTATCTGCTATTCTACCCTGATTTAACGCAGTAGATGTGTGAATGTCTATTTTATACACCAGAGTCAGTGGCATAGAGGGAAACAAGAATGCTGACCTAATTTTCTCTCCTTTGTTTTCGTTTCCTATGGCAAAAGCAAAGTGCATGTGTGTTCTTGGCTGTGGTAAGGTCCATCCTCTTACAGAGCATCTAAGGCGGTGAAGCCGGCGGTGCTTGTGCCCCTGACACTAGAACCACGCTCGTATGTTCATCAAACTCCTGCATATCACTTCCCATTTCTAAGTTCAAAACTTAGATTACATACCAGCAATTTTGGCATGCCTGTGAGGTACACGGCTGCCGAATGCTCCTTCCAGCCTCATTCAGCCCGGAAGTTCTAACAGTATCAGTCGTTCCTTACTTGGAGTCGTTCACTTTTCTTAGGCTGGTAAACCTTCTTTGTGTTTTATCCACAAAGCGGCTGCAGTTTGGTGAGACGCGAACCAGTGCCTCTCTTCGTTTTTTCAGTGGGTGTTGGTTAGCTTCCGCAGCCTCTTTAAATGTTACTCATTCACAAGTGCCACACATGTGCTCCTCTGGGCCTTTAAATACCCTGGTGCCTGCTGGTGTGCTCTGTACCTTTAGGGCAGGTCTGGAGTTGGCCTTTCTGCAAAAGGTTACTCCACCTGTTTGACTCCAGCGCTTAGGAAATCCAGAGTTCTGGTTCCCACAGTGCTTGTGACTCAGCAGTGTAGCTGCCCTCAAACAGAATTACTTGTCCAACAACTTAAAATGCTTTGCAAGCACTAATGAATTAAGCTTCCCAATGCCTTCAGACGCAAAGTATTACTGATAGGTAAACCAAGGCAGAGTGCGAGTCATGTGCAGAAGCGCGTTGCAAACCCTCTCCCACGCAGCCCTGAAAGAAATTTTGACCTCAGAGAAGTCAGTAGCAAAATGCCCTTAACTTATTAAGGCCAGAATTTGACTCTTGAAGTCCTATCCATCTCCTGCTTTTCTTCACGGAGCTCTCAAGGCCGGATCTTTAGCCACTGCACAGCACCACTGAAAACCAAGTGAGCACAGTGCATCGCGCAGCCTGAGGATCTTTTTAAGACGCCAGTTTCACTGCATATACAGCAATGTCCAAAGCGCTGCCTGCGCACAGGGGGCCTGAATTGTAGCTGCTTTGAGTAGCCCAAGACTGGTGCATGTAAAATTCCT